TGCATTTATTTCTAAACAATGTAGCCTTGTATTAGTTTTCCAAACATTAACTTAATGTATTTTCCAGTAAAATATAGTATATGTTGTAAGACAATGTATTTGATTCAGCACAGTAAAAACTGAGTAATACCATCATTTGCACAGTTCTGATGTGAATATTGGTATTTGTGCCTAGTGATCTGTCTATAGGTAGTGTTATGCATGCTTGTATAGGTTGTGTGCTTTTGTTTCTTGCAATTAAAATTTTTTTGAATGCATTTTTTTGCCATATTCACTTTTTATCATTTAGCTTTTGTTTTTAAATACTGTCTTTGACTAAAGGTTTTAGAAAATGTTATCAAAACCCAGCGAGAAACCATTGCTGTTCAACTAGTCTCTTATTTTTGACTTGCAGGTTCAAAAATATACCAAAACCAACATATCCTATACTGTGGTGAATTCTCATGCCCGTGCACAGCCTGGTCTCATGCTGGTGATGGAGCCAGTCCCAGACGCCAATATGGTGTGCAGAATGCGCTCGTTTATTAAGCCTCAGTGATACATATTTATCTTATTTTGTGTTCCGTACACGTGCTGAGCATGCATACTACATTACAATTATAGGCTACTAATTCTGTATGTTAGTTTGTGATTGGTGCTGCAGGCTGACCACTTGCTGTTCATGTGCCTTAGCGGATTGGCTGCTCTTTGCCCAAGTCCATTGCCAGCTTCTTCTCTAAATGTTGAACCATCACTTTTTGTTTCCAAATGTTGAACCATGACTCTTTGTTTCCTTGTGTTGAATCATCACTTTTTGTTTCCAAATGTTGAACCATCACTCTTTGTTTCCTTGTGTTGAACCATCACTTTTTGTTTCCTTGTGTCCTTGGCTGCCTTGGTGACTCTTATCATAGGTCCTGATACAGCCGCTGGGCCACATAAACCCCCACACTATACAATGTGAGGACACTTCTGTGCAGATATATGGTTCCTTTTCATGTCTTGAAGTACTGGATATTTTTTCCTAAAACTGTATAATTGAAATAATATTGTTTGGGCTCCTCTGAGTACATAAACATCTCTATTAGATTGCTGTGAATTTTAATATTGTTGTTACTCAAAGTGGTATTCTGAAGTTCTGCATTTGATCTTTCCACTTTGTCTCATAAAGCAGTTTAATAATTTGTCTTCAGATTAAAAGATCTAAAACCCAGTGTACAAATCTTGGCACAGGGTTAGAGCGTGGTGCATTTTTGGATAAAATCCCTGCCTTTTTTCTTAACTTCTGCCTGCAGTACATTTTTGGATCTGGGTGAATTTGGGGTTGGATACTGCTTTAATTTCCCTAAAGTTAAGCTTTTCTTTGGTATACCACCACTCTGAATTTACATTTGGAAAAGGGGCAGCATTTTTCTTCAGGTTTGAAAACACTGTCATTCATCTGCTAAATATAAATAAGTAACACAAGGAAATGATTGACTGATAGTGGTCTAGGTATTGATTTGCCACTTGGGTCCAATACTGTGTGTGACTACACATTTCAAAGTAATCCTTATAGTATAAAAATTATTATGTGGTGGTTTTTATTTTTCATCTTAATTTTAAGTATAGCTGTTTTTTCCTCACGAGAATGATGTGAGGCATTACGCTAACCCTGAATCATTGGATCTGACCACTGGTACACTGTTAGGATAGCTTAATCTAGAAATTCATGAACTCCGACTCTGTGGTCTGTGAAGAATACAGCCTCTGATTCTCGTGGAATTGTATACATTCAACTTTAAATTGAAATTTTTTTGTATGTAGGTCTAAAAACACTATGTCTAAATCTGACATCTGTAATTCTATCACTGATTGGTTCAAAATCCTTTTTGGACATGATGCCTCTGATTGTGAAGTTGAGTTAGTTTAATTGGCCCAGTGACCCTAGTAGTTAATGCAATGCATTTATGTGAACCACTTTTATAGTATTTGATCTAATTCAGATGGGGTTTTATTACTTGAAAAGAGTTCTTTTTTCTTTTTGATTACTACCATGTATATAAACACAATTCACATGTTCATAAATAAGGTTAACATTATTTTAGCTTTGTGTGTTCACTGGCATGCCTGCATTACATTTCTAAGCGGCATTTTAGCATAAGATAACACAGATGTCTCAAAAAAAATTAAAAAAAAAAGAAAAAATCCAGGATTGGGAGGGCAGACTTAGTGTTAGTTAGAACTGATTAAAGTAAATGAAAGACAAAGCCAAAACGTTCCCTTCTTGTTTGCTTTGACTGCACTTGATTTGGGTTGTGGGGAGCCATAGGGAGGGTGGAAGTCCTACATTTCTCTGTACAAGTCCTCCCTCTCTCTCACTGGAAAAGCACCACAGCCTCTGGTGCTTCTAGTGTTGGAGACACAATTAGATCTATTCTTACTCAGGTCTTGGCCTAAAGTGTAGGGGGTTTGTTTTGTTTTTAAATATACATATTTTTGTATGTATTTCAAAGCAGAACATGGATTTTAGTGTGATAGGAATAAGTCACTGGATAGCTTGCCAATTATTGTTGAACAGTAAAGCAGCAAAATTAAAATTAGTTAAGATTTTTTTAAAAAGGATGCCCAAAATCTTATACTTTGAATATTTCTTCATTGTCTTGCTCTTATGTTAGGTGTCATTCCACACTTCCAAATTTGTGCTGTTGTCCTACTGTTACCACAGCCAAACCAAGGCAGTGGATCCTTTTTGGTTTAGTATTACTATTTCAGTAACTGCAAGGGTCTCTAGTTGGTATTTGTCCTTAAAGGCTGCAGAAATGCAGAGAGTCATGCCTGTTGTCTTAGCGTTGTCAAGCACAACTGTGATCCTTCCTGGATGAATTCCTAGTTTAACCAAGTTATCAGGTTTTAGGATTCCAGTGTAATTAAATTTAGCACTCCAGCAGTGAGATTGGCCTTTTCTTTCTATTGTCTGTCCCCTTGCCCACTTGCTTTGTGTAAATTTCTACTTAGTCTTCTGTTTGAAATGGGAGTCAATACACTGACTGTCAGTTCTGGTTTGAGGGTTGGTTGGTTTGTTTTTGGTTTTGTTCTGTTTTGTTTTTCAGTTGTATACAAGTTTTATGGAGATGTTGTTTCTACTTGACTCATTGAAGGGACTGTCAGGAAATACTTTAGTAGAAATTTAAAGGAAAAGGAACAAAAGTCACAAGAATGTAAGAACATTGGAAGATGGACATTGAGCAAATATACTAAGTAGTACATTAATTATCTATTTGCTGCTTTTGATAACTGTTTAGTAGAAAAGAGTGCTATCAGCTTCTTTAAAAGATTAGACTGTTACTTGCAGGCCAGCTGCTTCCTAAAAAAATATAAGAACTAATCAATAGTTTACTATCTGTTATGTTTTAGTTACTGGTCAATACGAGACTGTTTAATGCTAGACTTCAATAAGAGAGCTTTCCTAATTGCTTGGTTGCTTCTGAAACCTGCAAAATGGTAGTGGTTGTGCCTGCCATGACAGAACATAGGCCTGTTTTTCTACATGTAAAAGGAGTGACAAGGAGCATGAAGCTTCAAAGGACTCGATCAGGCTTCCTTTTTAACAGAACTAGGTATAAAATGTTCTGAAAAGAAGGAAAGTTGAATCTTCTGGTAAAACTTGCAGTGAAAAGGAGGTGTCTTTTTTCCAGATCTGGGTGTTCCTTTCCAAAGTCACATTTTCAAGAACTTTCTAGTTAGTCATGCAGTAATGTTGAATGTGCTTTCCTAAAAGTATAGAGAAGGAATGCTTAACTGGAGTGAAGAATCATCTTCTGCATGTAGATATTTTTTCCCCAGAGTCTGCTAAATCTGCCCCCTTGAATTCTTCCACTCCATGAGGTAATAAAAGACAAGAGCTTTTTCCAAAGAAGGGTTTTAATCTCTTTTCTGATCAACAGAGTGATGCCTTGAGGAGAGCTGTTCAGTTTACATTGTAAAATTGTAGTCTATATTTTTGAACAACTAAGACATAATAAGCAGTGATTTGAGTGTCTTTCTGATAATGTTTTGCTAACATAAGTTTAACTGCTACTTGTGGCTTAATATGATTCAATATACTGGAAAAGGAACAAGATAATAGTTACCCTTTTTACTTTTGGAAAAACTGCGCTTCAGTGTTAGTTCTCAGTGACCACTACAGTCCATTACTAACTAGTGGTCTGAGGACTTCATTCCTGCAAGCTGCTCCTGTAGGTAGCTGGGAGGGAGGAGTGTGGTTGCCATGGAGAAGAAAATGACAGGGTTGTGCTCTGAATCCATGTTTTCATCATCAATGAAAATTGGTTTTGGTCTGATAACAAGGATAATAATATTAAATTCTCACCCTTCCCAAACTAATTTGGATAGTATGGCCTGTAGTCTAATAAAATACAAGAAACCTGTTTTCTTATTTTTTATAGGCTGCTCTGTCATAGTGAACACCTTTATTTCAGTAATTTGAGCAGTTTATTTTTTTCTAGACAAAGTGCTGGGTTACTTTTATGGCTGATGTTTTGGACTGGTGTTTAATTTGGGTTTTGTGGAGAATGGCGAGTTTGGCATTTTTAAACATAATGACAATAACGGCAGAGTTCATGTTTCAGTGCTTATATGCCTGTGCTTTATTTTGACAGACAACTATACTGCGTTCATAAAAGCATAACCGCATGCATTTATAAATGATAAGACATTAACTGATTAATTTACATTAACTGATTAATTTACAAACTACACTGAAAATAAGTTTCTTGCAGTGGTGCTTCTCAAATAAATATATTTTTAAAATCCTTTTTAGCTGAAAATTGACAACATTGACTTTTAAGCAGTTGTGAGCATTTAACAAGGGTCCCTTTCTGAGATATTTTGGAGAAATAAGTTGATCTCAAGTGGGTTTGGTTATTTTAGTTTCTTCTCATTAACCACACAGGCATTCTTAAGCTGTCATAGATTTGGACTTTCTTTTGACCAAATACAATTACACTAGGTTGGAAATGCCTCTTTCAGTGACACTCAGAGGATATAGTGCAGACTTTCAGACTACAGTAGAGGTTAACTATTGCTATGTTTTGACTGTAGAACTTGAATATGTGTTTAATTTTTTGTGAACAGATTGATGATTCTTCTGCATCTGTGTCTTTAGCCCAGCTTACTAAGGTATGTATATACTCTTGTCAAATACTTAAAAAAATATTTTTAAACTTTTTACTGTCATCTATATCTGGATAACTGTCCTAAAATGAACAAAACTTTAATTTCATTTTTAATAATTTAAAGTATTTATTTTAACTTTAAAATGTGTGTCTTTTTTGATACTATCTTGTGAAGACTAGTTCCCAGTTTGGGAAGACAGAAGGGGAATACCTTACTAGCCTCAGTGGAATTCAACATATATTCAAGACACAAAAAAGAAGCACTTCGGAAGCTGTTTACCATTTTTCATATCGTTTGTTAATTTTTTGTGGGAAACCAACACAATTTTTACAGAAAAATGTAATTGGCTGGGATTCCCTCCCATGTATCCTGCTTGTATCTGGACTAGTGTGTAATAAAAACATTTAAACAAACACTACTTTTAAAAAAATCATCCAGCTTCCATAATTTGAAGATCTAGTTCTGCATAAGGTTTCTATTACAATTAGTTACTTAAAAGGACACAGTCAACTGGAAAAAACCTGCAGGTTGTGATGACTGTAGTTAAATCACTTAATATGAAGAAGTTAGTCAGCAGAGGACATGCAGTTTGGGCACATGGTGGTCAAATTTCTACTGAAAAGAATCTTGTCTTGCTGAAGGATTATAAAGAGCTTGATTCCTTTTAATACTTCTGTGTCTGAAGCTGAATTTTAGCAAGCAAAAACATCTTCCCCAACTCTTTAATTGTGTGTCCTTTTCATGCTGCAAAGTATAAATAATGACACTTGCATACATCTCTCTCAATTAAGTGTGGAGATCTCCAAATAGTTGTGAGCTTAAAAATAATGGATAATATATTTTTTTTCTACACATAGCTTCGGTCCACTTGGAAGAAAATTGGATCGTTACACAGGTCTTTATGTAAGGTTCAAACAGTGCCCAAGGTTTTGAGTGCCCAAGAATGCTCTTTTCCAGTAGGTTAACAGGAACATAAACACCATGTAATGGCATAATGACTCCCTAGAACATCTACAGAACATCTATATTTCATATAAGCAGATGTTTTCATGCAACCACAGCTAGCGTGGCACTGCTCTTTACAAGACCAGGCAAGTGGTGGTGTCTTTGTCGGCATGGGCTGAACTGTGTTTCTAATGTGTGTCAAATAACTACCTAATAAACAGATTGCCAATCTGGCTGAAGCCAATGCTTCCGAAGAAGATAAAATAAAAGCTATGATGATGCAGTCTTGCCATCAGTATGATCCAGTCAAGTAAGTGTTGATAACGTCAAATCTGTTCTTTGAAGAATATGGAAAAATTGTAGAGATGGTTGTTTGAACAAGAGAGATACATGGTACCTTTTTCTTTTTTTCTCCAAAAACTTCTAGTTACATGAAGAAACCCTTGGGTCCACCTCCACCCACATATACTTGCTTTCGTTGTGGAAAACCTGGCCACTATATAAAGAACTGCCCAACAAATGGGGTAAGATTGTGAGGGAGTTCTGGTGTTACTCAAGAGTTATGTAATAAATACATGAATATTCATGTTAAGAATAATTTCTCTTGGAGTGAAACACAGAGGTTACATAGCAATGGTGCAAAGCCCTTCAAAATTCAAGGGTTACCTGGCATTATAAATGAAATTTTCTTTGTTCTAGGTCATGGACATTAAATATATCCATAGATCTTCCTCTGTGATATTTCATGCATATTTTTATCTAATTCAGTATTATTGGAAATTTTTTGGTTTTTAACTCTTTGTAATGAATGTTCACAATTTTAAGTATTTAGTATAAAATACGTTTCTCTGGATCCCATTTAATGAATATTTGCATGTGTTCATTACACAAGCACCTGGTCAAGTAGTCACACCATTTAATGTTAGTCGCTGAATGAATTATGCATGAGGTATGAATTCAACCTTCATATATGGGTTAGTGAATATAAGTTTCCCCAGTGACTGATTCAGAGCACCAAATTAAGCTCTCATTTTGAATTGCACTTTGGAGGAGGAATGGGGTTTTGTCTATTCTGAGTGAATGGTGAGCTAAGGGATATTCCACTGTTAAGGAACCTGAAATTAAGCCAAAAAATGTCAACTGAGTTCTAAACACTCTTCAAGCCTTTGGAATACCTGGCTGTATTAATTTATGAAAATAAGTATTTTAGTCAAGCAACTCTTAGGCTTGGTAAAAGGAGAGGATTGGAAGCATTTGCTGCTTAAAATAATCATTGACATTCATTTTAACGTCTTAAGATAAGATATGCCTGCATTTATTTTCTTAACAGGACAAGAACGTTGAGTCTGTTCCCAGAATGAAAAAGAGTACAGGAATTCCAAGGAGTTTCATAGTGAAGGTGAAAGATCCCAATACAAAGGGTACTGACAAACACTGGAAAGTATGCAATACCAACTATTAATGCGTAAGTATGGAATTAATGGGACTGACCAAAAAGTGAAGGAGAGAACACATGTGTAAATATCTGAGTGGTAATGCAATGAAGTTGACCAGCATCTGTAATTATGGCATTGTCATATCTTGACCTTAAAATTTGTGATACTTTCTAATATTAAAATATGGTAGTCCTGCTGTTCATGCCTCTGGAAGTTGGTTAAGCTTGTGGTATGCTAAGAATCTCTATTTCTGCAAAACATTTCAGTCATGTTTACAGTGGAGTTGTTCTCTTTTGAAAGCTCCTTTTGCTTCCATTTTACGTTTCAAAGGCTTCTTGCAAGATTTAACAAATAGCTGTTGGAGTGAGATTTCCTCCCCTTCTGACTTTTATCAGGTACCGCGTGGGAAACAGACTGAACTTTTCTGTTGCTATAAACTAAGAAAATACTACTGTGCACTGACAAGAGTGGTTGTTTTAAAAAGGAATTGGTAGCAGCTCTGTTTTTCTGTCATGGATGTCCTTCTGTAGAAGCTGTAACATTCACTTCTCCCATTTATAAAACATAATTACTCAGAGACTAACTTCATCCTGAACCTGCAATTTCCATTTACACTCTGTAGAGGAGAGGTAGGATTCATTACACCTTCTTTCTAGCTGTCAAAAAATGATTTTTCTAGTCTGAGATAATATTGTAGTAGATCCAAAGAATGGGAGAGTTCTGCAGAAGGAAAATTGTTCCCCTCTTCCTTTTCTGGTGTCAGGGCTACAGAAAAGTAATTTAAACTGAATGCTTATGTTTCTGAAGGATAATGTAGAGTGAGAAGAATTCCATCTGTTATCTTCCTTTGATAAAATCCAAAGCTTGGAAAAGTTTTCTTTTACCCGTCTTTAACTTTTTTCCTTTTCTTTCCCCATGCCCCTTCCAGGGAAGCTTACGCTAGAGTGCTGTGGTTTGGGCCTGATCGGCAACCAACCACCACAGCTGGTCACCCTCCCTTCCCCCTCCCCACCTGGGAATGGGGGAGGGGATTAGAGGGGTGAAGGGAGACTCGCAGGCTGAGATAAGAACAGTTTAATAATGGCAATAAAACGAGAACAATAACGATGATGGGGGGAAAACGAAAAGAAATATGTAAACAGGCAATGTACAGCGTAATTGCTCACCACCCGCTAACCAATATCCAGCCCGTTCCCGGCCAGCGACCCCGAGATACCAAGATCCCACAATCGCAATCCCAGAAGTGATAGAGCTCCTTCCCAGCCACCCCTCCTCTATACAGTGAGCGTGACGTTCCATGATATGGAATATTTCACTGGCCAGTTAGGGTCAGGTGCTGTGGCCGTGCTCCCTCCCTGCTCCCTGTGCCCTTGCGCACGGGCAGGACATGGACAGTCGGAGAGTCCTTGAAGTCTCAGCAGCAGCTGAAAACATCAGTGTGCTATCGGCATTCTTCCCATACCAAACCCAAATCTAAATCCAAAACACAGCACTCATCTAGTCCCTGAAAAGGAATATTAACTCTATTTCAGCCCAAACCAAGACATAGAGGAAAGAAGGAAAAGCCTCCCTTTTTGCAAAAGGAGCTGTCCTCCTCCTCCTCCTTCGATGATGATGACCCTATTCCAGATGAGTTGTTATGTCTCATTTGTAAAGATATAATGACTGATCCTGTTGTTATTGCCTGTTGTGGAAACAGTTACTGTTATGAATGTGTTTGTTAATTCAAAGCATCACAACTGATATTCTGAAAGCAGAAATAGGATATGATCAGAGTACTTTGTTACCAGCTTTATTATTTACTTAAGTATACTCTGAATAGGACAGTTCTTGTAGAAAGGAAAAAGAAAAGGCAGAAAGCTTTTTTCCCTTTTTACATATCTAGTTACATCCTCTTTACATGCAGAAGGACAAGTATGAGAAGAGTGCATAATTGTGCAGGTGATTACAGTATTAGATACTGAATGCATTTAGTTTGTCCACAGCCCTTTCTCTCATACAAATCTCTAGAGCCAACAATGGTGACTTGTCTACAACAAATGGCCAGTTAGGCATTTAATCCACATTCTCCTCCAGAGCAGACTTAGTTAAAACTTTCAGAACTCAAACCTACTAATGGCTTTTTGAGACATGTTTTATTCATTACCCTTGAGGTTGGGGACTTCTCACTGTACTAGACAGTGGATAAAAGACACGTCAAAACATCAAGATACAGACTACTCTACAGCATCAAATATTACAATAGTGAAATATCAAAACTGGATAGTTATGTGCTGCATACTAGAAATTCTTTACACTGTTAAACATTTATAGCTTCATGCTCTCAATTCAAGACCATATTCACCCATTAATCGTATACATGTTTTTATAATTCATTAGAACCCTAAAAATGTCCTTAGTTTAGCTAAAAACTATATTGATGATTCTAATTATTCACAGGTATTAGAACAGCATTACTAGAATCTGAGGAACATACATGCCCAATGTGTCATCAGACAGGTGTTTCTCCTGATACTTCAATTGCCAACAAGCTCCTACGCTAGGTAACATGATGACTTTTACATAAACTATTTGTAAGAAAAGTGTATTTGTAAAAAGCTGAAGGGGAAGAAAATACCCATTTACATCTCCTTAATCAAGGCTAAATTGAATCAGGCTGAACTGACTTTTCAAATATATTATTTGTTGTTACAGAAGCTTACAACCCTAGAGGCAATCTGGCAAATTCAGGTTACACTTTTGTTTAACATGTTTACCTCACCTGTAAATTCATTGTTAACACTGAACTACTTTAAATAGAAATACTCTGAGTTACCAACATCAGTATTTAGTGTGATGTGTTCATATGTCAGTATGCTGATTTCTTTTAGGATTGATAGCATTTACAGGAATACACAAGTCATTTTACTCTGTGGAGGCTTTTGTTTGTATAACTACTGAAGTTTCATAGTCTCTTTCTGTAAATGTTTTTCTGCCTCTAGGCTGCGAACAACTTCAAAAATGGAACTGGCTACAGCAAGCAGCTTGAGCAGCAACAGCAGCAGCAGCTGCCACTTCCACTGCCTCTGCCACCACTCATGAGACAAACAGTAACACACAACCTGCAGCCTCTACTCTGGCCAACAATTTCCAGAGAGCAGGATCCACTAACGTCTCTGCTGGCTCCTCATTCTGCTGCTGCTTTGTCATTGTTGGCCCCTGGTCAGCCACCTGTGGCAGCTGGGCTGCCAGTAAATCTGTCTTCTGTCATTGCCTCTGATGTCCCTCCAGCAGTGTCCCTATCTCTCTGTGCTGAAAAGCCAGATGGACCTTTTCGGTAAGTAAATCTATATGTCAGCATGAGTATAAAAGACACCAAAAGGCTGAAGTTAGATGATTCTTCTTAAGCTTCTCTGCTAGCAATTTATATATCATTAGTGACAGTTCCAGAGAACAGTGGAAGTTCTGGGTTTTGTTTTGTTTTTTTTTTTTTTTTTTTTTTTGTTTTTTTTTTTGAGGATACTTTGGTAAATTGGAAGTGTGCCTCATGCAAGAATTTTCTCATAATTATTTCTTGTTTGGTTCCCTTATTCAGTACAGGTTTACCATGAAAGAGGAACCTTTCTTCCCCAGGAGCCCTTTGATTTTAAGTGACTAGCAATTCTTAAAGCAACCATTTAGTTATGGCAAACTTCCTTGAATGCCTTCATTTCTCTTTAATACTGAGGAAATAACCTTTTCATCAAAACTGTAAAAGCACGATTAGAGGTAAAATTGATGAGATGTTTTCACATAGCTTTTCTCCACAGTACTTCTATCATCAATATTACAAGTCAGAATCGTCCTCAGTAATATACAGTATAGTCAGTGATGCATACAGATTTGGATAATAAACATTGAAACACTGTAAATTTGAAGTATTTACAAACATGACAGTCTAAGTTTGCAAGCCAGTGATGTCACATGAAAATACAATAAAACTCTGTACTTTTGTTTAGGGCTTATATCCTTCCAACTTTATGCCTTGAATGCAAATAGCCACTCTGTCCAGAAGACTGTCAGGCTCAGCTGTACCACTGAATACAAAGGATCCCAATTCAAAAGAACCTCTAAGGCTGAACTACACATAAGTATTTCTTAATAGAATTTCAGTTCTTGCATCTCCCAAAATTGAGATTCCATGTATGGGTTATACGTACTCTAATTCTTTCACCTGCAGCTAGCTTAACAAAATATTTTTCCAGTGAGCATTTTCTGTAAATGCCAGTAGTCCAAACAGACTTCTTGTCAGTGCTTCATTTGGAATCAGCCAACTTCACATTTGTAAATCTGGTGAAGATTATTTTTTAATTTATTTTATTTCCATTTACTGTAGTCAGCCTTTTCTCACATCAGAATTTATATTTCAAGTAGCACTTCAAAACTGCTTGAATAATAAAAAATTGGGTTTTTTGTAGTGATGCCGGTGTAGTTCTACCTCCTGCTGCTCTGGTGACTGCTGCCGAACTTTCTAAATCATCCTCTCTGTCAGTCATCAGTTTGTTGGAAGAGGAGGTAAATTTTATTTCAACATCTGCAGTGATACTTGTATTTTAGTAGCTTATTTTCTAACTGTGTTTATTCACAAGGGCTATCATGTTCCTGTATTAAGACAGCGAAGTCTTCTGGGCTCCCAAGGACAATCAATACCCACAACTGGTAAGAAACTGCAACTTTAGAATTTCTTTAAAAAAAAATTATCTTCAAATAAACTGAATGGGATTTTTTTTCCTTTTCCTCTTCCCACTCCACAAGGTCATCCAACGAAAGCCAGTACAATTCACTCAGCAGGTGGCAGACCAGGCCAGGAACTGTACGTATTCTACAGAAATTCAACATATTACTACTTGTAACCAGTTAAATGAGGCCATAACACATAACTCATACAACAGCTCATTTGTAATGAAATAAGTGTGCACAGGTAGTTGTGGAGAATACACAACTGTGTATTCTCCACAACTGCTTGTATAATTAATTTTTAAATGGCTTAGTTGGAATTAGCTTTAGCAAAGGGGATCTGTCCTTGCAGTAAGATTATTTAAACTTAAACTCTACTACATGATTGAAAAGAGGACTCTGAAAAATAAACATTTTTTGAGGAAACCATAATAACATTCAAGAAAGTAAATATAATTAAAGGATCAGAGGGAAAGCCACCCTTTTGATTACTGGCTGAATAGGGATGAAGAAATTGATTTCCCAATAGAAATCAAAATCAGCCTGCAACGTTCTTTTTTTTTTTTTTTTTTTTTTTTTTTTTTTTTTTTTTTTTCCTGCAACTTAGTTGATACTGATTGAGCAAATTACTGGAAAAGACAATGTTGTTGTTTTATGGCAATTTTTAATTTCTTCAGTCTAGTCACCTCAAATAGTCAATCTGCTTTCTCTCAGTTGGAGAAAGAGGAGTCTGTTTTATCTATTATTGCAGTGTTGTTAGTCCTTCCTTTTGGAATATATTAGTTATAGATCGATTGTAAGAGTGTGCTGTGTTTATAAGATCTGAAAGATACATCAAAACAAAACTCAGGATCCATCCCACAGATTGTCTAAAACCTCAAATTCAATAAGCAAGACAATAAAACTTCAGGGACAAGAACAGGCCAAATCCATCATCATGAGGTAACAACATAGCAAGTGCATGTGGAAGAAGTTAAAGGAAATTTGAAAGAATATGAGTTAATAGCTGTGCAGTACTCTGAAGATCAGAAGTGTGAAGTATTAAGTATATCAAGGAGTGGCAGAGGAGCAGTGGGTACTTGGCACATGGGAGGTGGGAGTCTCTTTTAGGCACGGGCAGCCTCCATCCACAGCCTCAAAGCTGAGTATAAGGAGAGAAGACTAAGGGAACTGCTGGGGGTGAGGGTGTGGAAGGCAAGTATGAGGACTGAGAAATGAGTGTAGTCTCAAATGAACAGAAAGCAGGGAGAAAAATGCTTAAGTTGAGAACAAGAAGTGCTTGCCACCATGCTGTTGCTTCACTCACTTTCCTCTTTCAAATAAGGGCAGAATATAACAAACAGTGACATAAGTTTTTGGGTTTCTTTAGAAGTTCAAATCGAGGATGCCCACACAGTGAACGTACTCAAAGGACTCAAGCCCCAACTCTACCAGCATCAACATCAGTCTTTGTGCCTGTGCCCCCACCTCCCTTGTATCCTCCACCACCTCATGCACTTCCTCTTGCATCGTGGGTACCACCACCACCATTTCCTCCTCAGTTTCCACCTGGTCAGCCTCTGTCTACTGGGTGCACTGTCTCCCCTCCAGGATATCTCTCAGCTCCTGAAAACATGTCATCAGTTTGGGTGCCAACAGCAGTACCAGCAGCTCATTCAAATACCATCCCAATGACACAAGCATCCCCATTATCTAGGGAGGATTTTTACAGAGAACAATGGAGATATAAAGAGGAGTAAGTACTTGGCTCAATTAAGTTGTGTTTTTTTTTTTTCATGTTTGTATTTCAATAGCATATCAGACTGCTAGTTACACTGAAGTGCATCTGACATAAACAAAAATGACATAGTGTTTTGTCCAATATACTTTTTCATTGCAGATGGTAAACATGCAAAACTAAAACAAGATAAGTGCAATTCTAAAATTTTTCCTAAAACTTGTAGGAATTCTAAACTGGTTTTGCTTAAATAGGATGTTCACCTTTTGCATTTGCATGCAGTATACATTTTCTTATATTGGCCATGTTTTGTTTGTTGGTATCTTTTTGTAATAAAGATCAAACTGTAATAGTAATAAAGGTCAAACTTATTTTAACAGGGGAAAGAAAAAGTCCAGACTTGATGAGTTTACAAATTATTTTGCTAAGGAACTGATGGAATATAAAAAGGTTCAAAAGGAGCATAGGTGTTTGTTTTCCAGGTAACTGCTTTACATGTTGTAATGGAGAAGCAGATTGTCTAGAAGAGTCAGGAGCAGTTCCACTCCACCTCTCTATTGTTAGATGGATTGGATGGTCCAAGGGATTAGCAATGAGAGGAATTTCATGCGTAGGTTACTAGCTCGAATGTGGCAGAGATTACAGTTGACTGATAGTTATAATTTGGCAGCAGTTGCTAAGGAGCAGATGTATCTTTAACTAAAGCTTCTCTGAAATAACATCCTTCACCTCCTGACAGCTGTGAGGAGGCTAGAACCTGAATAGGTGTAGTTGCTGGATTTTCTGCTTCTCCTGATTCTGATTGTAACCATTACCTCAAAGCACTTCAGAGGAGATATGGGAGAGAACCTATCTTCATTTACTCTTTTGTTTATCACTTGTGGATACATGGAGAGATTTTAACCTGGACTACAAACTGGTGGCTTTCACTAGTATTTCATTGACATTAATAATTTTTTCTTAGAAATTGTTTGTAAGGAAATCTTAAATTGGTGAACAACGTTGGGAATATGTGGAATAATGTGAAATGGTTATTTAAAAAATAATAAAAGAAAAACTTGTGAAGAAAGAACTCTGGGTAGCTGATGTTTTCTATCCTCAAAAAAACACTAATGAGTGTCCAACCTGTCCTTCCCTTGGCCTCTGGCATCCCATTTCTTGAGATGTAAACACGGTGAGGCTTCTGTCGAGAATCCTTCAGATGTTAGTATGACTTCCCTAAGAGTAGCAGTACCTGAAAGAAACAAAGAAACAAAAATTAATTAATCGGCCTAAGTGTAAATTAGTGCAATGAAACGCTCTGCTTGATTTGTAGACATGCTGGGCAATGTCAATTCAATCAGTATTTGCAATGTAAGCCATCCTCAAGTAGCCCTTCCAAAGCAGTTCACATGAAGGCTGCTCTTGTAAAAGTCTCCTTTTGTGTCCCCAGGAGGCATGGGCACTGCTGATTTCCCTCTCCAGAGAGTGGCAGAGGCTGGATCCCCTTCTCAGGACAGACTCCTTGCCAGGAACACACAGGCATGGGGGTAGCTCAACTGGTTTTCACTGAAAATTCACTCAATATCTCTTTTGGTGTACTTGCTGTTTTTCTTTGACGAGTCTTAAAAACACTGAATAATCAGAAAAAAAAAGAAAAAGAACTAATAGAAGTTAATCATCAAGGCAGGGAGGTTGGAACCAGATGATGTGCAAAGGTCCCTTCCAATCCAAACCATTCTCTGATTCTGTGATTTTATGACAAGCATGAACTTAGTGTTGCGTGTCCTGTAAAGGAGCTCCATATATGTGAGACACATTAAACAGACCGTGCCTCACTCCCCATCTTCCCTGGCAGTCACAGAATCATAGAATCATTTAAGTTGGAAATCATTCTTATTCAAATCTATCCATTAAACTAACACTGCCAAGCCCACCACTAAACTTGGTCCCTCTGTGCCACATCTACATGTCTTTTAAATACCCCAGTGATGTTGACTCAACCACTTTCCTCGGCAGCCTGTTCCAATGCTTGACAACACATTCAGTGTAGAAATGTTTCCTCATATCCAATCTAATCCTCCCCTGGTGCAACATGAGGCCATTTCCTCCTGTCCTTTCACTTGTTACATGGGAAAAGAGACTGACCCAGACCTCACTACAACCCACTTAAATCTAACTGTACAGACCAATAAGGACTCTCCTGAGCCTCCTTTTCTCCCGGCTAAACACCCCAGTTCTCAGAGCTGCTCCTGATAAGACTTGTGCTCTAGACTCTTCACCAGCTTCATTGCGCTTCTTTGGTCACACTGCAGCACCTCAATGTCTTTCTTGTAATGAGGGGCCCCAAACTGATCCCGCGCTGACAATCTCACACCCACGCTGCTCTCCACATGAGCCTGTAGCCCACTGGAACCACACACAGACGTCTAATTCCTCCTTCTTCACACCCCGCACATCAGTGCACTGGCACTTCAGAGAGGTGCCCGGCAGCACTGATTTCCCAGAAAGGATGTCACAGGACCATAAAATTACAGTAAAACTGAGGTTTGGAGGGACAGGACTGGACCCAGTATTGACCCTTGTAGTGCCCCACTGGTGACCGGCCTCCATCAAGACCTGATGCCACTGACCACCATTCTCTGGGCTCGGCTGTTCAGCCAGGTTTCAACCACCTCACTGTCTGCTTCTCCAGCCTCTGCTTCACCAGCTCATCGATGAGGATTTTTTGGGAGACAGTGTCAAAAGCTTTCCTGAAGTCCAGGTGGACAATTTCTACTCGTCTACCAAGCCAGTCATTCACTGGAGAAGTTTATCAGGTTATCAGATAGGAAGGACATTTCCTTTTGTTGGCTGTGCTCTGGACCTCTGTGTGTATGTTGGGGACTGGCACTTGGAGGACCGTGATGTTGTGCCAATGTCCACCCCATACAGATTTGGCCAGCTCAAACCCAGGGAACATATGAGGGAAATGCTACAAATTCTTTCTTTCCTTGATAGCAAGGAAACACTAGTGGGCTCTATCTAACCTCTTCAACCAGCATTGCTCTCAGCTCTGTTTAGATGCAATGGAGACATTAAATGTCTTAATAGAAATATGTCTTGGAAACAATTTCTCCATTCAAAATATAAATAGGAAATGTGTTTTAGAAATGGATGTATAAGTCTATAATTTTAAAGAGGGAATGAAAGTGTCATGGGCTTGCTGGTGTATTCAGGCATTTCTGAAGTTCCCCCCATTACGTTACCAGTGAGAGCAATCAGTTCATCGTACCCCCCATAGCCCTGGCAGGACATAACCTCATAATGTACATTTTGTAGACTCCCCCATTATCCAACCCTTTCCATACCCCAGCTGTGTCCCATGTGGGGATTCACAGACCGCCCTTCTCTTCAGTCTGCCAGGGTCTGCACCAGGAGAGAGGCCGGACAGGGCTGGCCGGTCCCCCCATACAGGCACTGAGACCAGCAGGAGGATGGAGATGGTTTAGCAGCAATGCTCACCCATAAACCTGGGTGAGCAGCCAGTGCTGGAAGTGGCCGGTGAGAGAGGATGGGGGTGATGAATTCTGTATCCCAGATGACCCCCCAGTTGTGAGAAACAAGCCCACGTATATTTAAAAATATGTTTTATTGGGGACAGAGTCAGTGGAGCAAAGAATATAGAGCTGCACGCAATGGTGCAACCTGCCCCAGCAGAGGATTCTTTTTATAGTTCCAGTCCTCCTTTTTGCACCCGCGCAGTTCCTTTTCCTTGGTTTCTCCGAGGCTGTCTCTCTCTCTGTATTTTTCCACTGCTTCAGTACTTCTTATCACAAAACAGGCAGATGCTGAGCAGGGGAGGCATCCACAGTGTTATATGTAACTATTCGGTTTAAACATTAAATCAAAGAAAGAACAATGCAACACAACCAAGCCAAGCAACAAGTCCACTCGTTTTCTTTCCCTGCCCTCTTCTTTGGCGTTTCCAGTTGGTCTCGGTGGTCCTCTGGGTGGGGGGGGTTGGTGGAGGGGGTGAAGTCCAGGTTCCTCTTCATCAGGAGTTCTTTGCTTAACCCTTTTCTGCTGGCTTCCATTCCTCTTTACACGATACCTAACCACAGACACACCCCCCATCCTCCTGCTTGCCCAACTCCCCACAATGCCCAACCCTATGCCTGACCTGTGATCAAAAAAGGTGTGCACAACTGTTATAAATTTAGCAACACTAATTTAATAACAGCTTTAGCCTAACTCAATAAAAGTAATTCTTTAATTACTGTTAGCGAAAGCAAAATTCTACCGTTACTTCTCACATAGCGAATCCTTGAAGGTGGGAGTGGTTCCCCGTTGGTTTGTGATATCACTGGAGTGGGGGGGTCCCTGCCTGGGCAGTGACATCACGGGGAACTCTCTGAGATGGGGGTTCCCTGTGGGGCTGTGACATCACTGAGGACCATGTGTGGAGTGTCCCCACCAGGGTGCTGGCATCACACAACATCCACGTAGGGTGGGGGGTGTCCTGCTGGGTTGTGATGTCATCAGGCAGCCACGTGGGGTGGGGTTTTCTCTGACGGTTGTGATGTCACAGAAAACTCAGTGGGTTTGCTCACCGGGGTGCTGATATCATAGTGCACCTTCGGGGTTCACCACCATGTTTGTGATGTCATAGAGGACCCTCTGGTGTTTCCAGCCACAATTGTGACATCATAGAGGACCCTTGGGGTTACCCACCAGGGCTGTGACATCATAAAGGAACTTTGCTGTTCTGCATCAGGATTGTGATGTCATAGCAAGCTCTTGGGGCTCCCTACCAGTGTTGTGACATCATAGTGGACCCCCGTGTGGTGGGAGTGGGCTTATGACATCACAGGGGAGCTCATGGGGTCGAGGTGGGGATCCACAATGGAATTGCAGTATCAGAGTCTCACTTAGTTCTGATGGGGATTCCCCAACCCTGGGTTGTGATGTCACTGGTGGGTTATGACATCCCTGAGGGGGTGGTTCCCCTGCCCTATGATGTCACTCATGACCCCACCTCCCAGGCATGTTGGCATGAGGAGAATCACAGACTCCAGCAACTCTATAAGAGTCAGAAATCAAAATCGTTTATTGCCGATACAAGTGTGCTTATATGTCTGCCTAGCAACTGATCACACATAAACAGAAGGCTGGATTGGTTACATGCATTCCTCACACACTGTTCACACGCCTAAGACTAACGTTTGATTGGTCACTACCCTCTGTCCATAATGCACCAGACAATTCATTGGTTATAAGTTAGTTACTGGTATCCTAAAGCCTATTGGTTAATTAAATCTTACAAGCACAAACGCAATGTTCTATACACTTTTAGCTCAAGGTAGAAAACTTTCCACTGTTTAAGAAACGACCAGAGGTTTCCCATCAACCGTAGCCTGGCATGTTTTCTTCAGACAAAGCTCAGCATCCTTATCTTGTTTTTCTACATTCCTGTTCGCTACTCCCAAGGCTTCTGGCTGATGAAGATCAAGATGTTCTCACCATTCACCAGTTGTAGAGCTCTCTCAGTTCTCCTCCCTCTTTTCACGTCCCTTTTGCGATGTAGCCAAAGTCTTGCTCCTGTCCAATGTGGCCATTGTCCTCCAAAAATGATCCCACAGTGGCAGAGGAGAGGAAGCTCTTTGACATGGATGAGCATTCTGGGGGGCCCTGAGACCCCTGAATCCTCATTTTGGGAGGGGTCACAGGGTCCCCTGACACTGCCCACCCAAATAATTTGAGGGGGGTTTTGTGTTGTTTGAACCACAAGCCCCTATTTGCGGGGCACTACAGTATTTCCTGCCAACCCCCCCAGTTATATTTGGGCTGATCCCTGAGCCCCTCCAAACCCCATTTTGGAAGGGTTGGGTGGACAGTTAAGGCTCCCCTTAAATCAGTTTTGGTTCCCCCCACTACTCTGTCTTCCATTTTGGCAGGTTGTTGGCACCTCTGACCCCCCCTCAACCTTCCATTTTGGTCTGCCTGCCCCTCCCCCCCCAATTATATTGAGGGTGGTTTGGGTTTTCTCCCCCCATATCCTCCATTTTTGGGGGTGGTGACAGACTGAATCCCCCCAAAATCCCAATTTTGGGG